CCCCCCCCCCCCGAAACCCGCCATCCCCCAGGCCATCTGCCGTTTCAACCTCGTCTCCTCCGGAAGACATGGTTCCCAAGATTTCCGGATCGAACGCGAAGGCTTCTTCACCGAAGACGGCTTTTCGGACAACCTAATCCAGACCATGAGCAAAGCATTTCTGCTGATGTATGTCTGAGTAAGAGTGCCACAGCTCTCAACACGTTGCTTGCTCCGTCGCGGCAAGTAGATCGGTGATTGATAGACCGACGCTGCGCAACCTCTTGCTTATCGCAGCGTGCGGATGTCTGCCCGCGGTCTCCCCGTAGCTCGAATCAATCCAAAAGGCGCGATTTTTGATCGTCCCGGAATTTCAGCGTTGTGATGGACATTGAGGGTCAGATATCTCCGGAACAGTCGCTTCGTCGGACGCGGTAGTGAACTTCAAACCTAGACAAGATTGATCATTAATGAGCCGCGCAAAGATTTCATCCTGAAATGCCATCGAATTTTCATGCATTCAAGCTGAGAAGAGTTCATACCTTTTTTCAAGTATGTTGATCTTTATTTTTGCAAATGAGTATAAATACGTTAACACTACGTGTGTGCAGTGGGCCTTGGCCCGTGGTACAGTCACACGGAAAACTAAACGTTCGATAGAACTCTGTGGGGGGGGATTGTAATTAGTAGGTGGGTTACTGTGAACTGGTTGACTAACTTAGTACAGCATGTTTTTCAAGTCAACTTGATCGGTCTGAGCGTAATAATGTTTTATCAGAAGCTTGATGAAATCTCTTCTGCACACTGAGGGATCTATATATATAAAAACGTATGTCTGTCTGTCTGTTTGTCTGTTTGTCTGTTTGTCTGTCTGTCTGGTGTCACCTATAGACTCGAAAACGGCTGAACCGATCGTCGTGAAAATTTAGGAGGGTGTTCTGGGCGATCCCCCGGTGGTTATAGGGGGGTCAGTTCTTCGATGCAATGAGTCCTTCTACCTTAAAAAAATTATTTGAGTGCTTTACCCACGAAAATACGAAAACTCGGAAAAAAATTGAAAAATCCGAAATTCGCAAAATTCACAAACGCCTGAACCGATCGCCGCAAAAACTCAGGGGTGGGCTCTCGGGAGCTTCAGGAGGGTCATATGAGGGTCGTCGTTCCCATGTGATGGGTCCTCCCACCATAAAAAAATGATTTGAGTGGTCCTCTCACCGAGAATCAAAGATTTCATCGAGGGAAAGACGGGAATTTGTAGGACTTTCAACGGCTGGACCACCATGAGGGGGCGGATTCTTGGGAGCTCCTGAGAAGTCTATCGGGGGTTGCCGTCATCACTGGCCTCTGTCTTTTTACTAATGAATCTCGCATAAAATCGCTGTAGCCGTGAAGGGTATCGATT